GATCTCCTTCTCTCCTTCTCAAAATCATCTATTTTTGGTCCAAATCTCTTATACTATGCTCTAACTACTTACATTAAAACAGTGGTCTCCAACCTTTTTAATCACAAGATCACTTTTTCAAATTAAGTGCATTGTAAGATCTACCTCAAACTAAATACCCCTGCCCGGCTTCCTTCCTACCCTTTCTGAGGTCACCCATTCTCCGAGGCTTCATCCTACTCACTCCATCTTCCTTCTCCCATTCTCACTCACTTTCACCAGGCTGGGGTAGGGAGTTGGGTGTAGGCTCTGGTCATGCACCAAGGAGTTTGGAGTGTGGGAGAGGCTTCAGGATTAGCAAAGAGCAGAGGATTGGGGTCCAGGAGGGATTTCAGGGTACAAGCCCTGGGAATGGAGATGAGAGTGGAGAGTGGAGATGAGAGTGAAGGACAGTGTGTGTTTGTGAAAATTACAGACACACACACTGTGTGAGAGTGACAGAGATGCAGGGGGTGCAGGGGGACTCTTGTCTGGGAGAAGAGGTTGGGTGTAGGAGGTTCAGGCGTGGGAAAGGGGTTCAGGAAACAGGCTCTGGCTGGGCATCATTTAACTGAGATGACTTCTGGGTGTTGGAACAGTGGAGTTAAGGCAGGCTTACTCCTGCCCAGGCCCTGCACCACTCCTGAAAGCAGCTGGCATGTACAGCAATGGCTCCATGGTGTCATGTGCTGCTCCTCATCTACAGGCACTGAGCCCACGGCTTCTACTGGCCATGGTTCTTATTGAACAATGGGAGCTGTAGGAGAGGTGTCTGCAGGCAAAGACAGCATGTGGAGACCCCCTGCTCAGTCTTTCTCGCAGGGACAGGCCAGCCACTTCCAAGAGCAGCAGTTACCATGGGGATAAACTCCAGCCATGACAGGTTAGGCATTTTAGAACTCACTACTCAAATAATTAAATTTAAGAAAGAAATGAAAATTATGAACTGGCCAGACCAGTCAAAAACAAAAAATAACAAGCAGTAAAAGTAGTAACAAACCCCCATGTATGTGTTCGGTCAGGAGATGAGAGTGAAGGACAGTGTGTGTTTGTGAAAATTACAGACACACACACTGTGTGAGAGTGACAGAGATTTGCATTGCCAAGCTCCCTCCACCCCTTTTTCTCTATGTGGAGATAGAGTACAGGAGTGGGAAGAGGAGGGACACCCTGACATCAGCGCCCCCCCCCCACACTTTTCACAGCAAGCAGGGGCTTGGCAGGGGGCAGCTCCAAGGCAGAAGGCAGGAGCAGCATGATAGTGGGTGGAGGGGCAACTGAAGAGCCAATGCTTGATAGCTTCCTGGCCAAAGCAGTCAGGATCACCTCTCAGAGGCTCCAAGATCTACTGGTTGTTGACCACTGCATTAAAGAAATCCATTGCACCTTGAGTTTAGTGGAGAGATGTCTGACCAAAAAGGACCTGGTGTTGCAAGTTTCCTTCTACAGTCATTTCTCCACTGTCAGTGCAGCTTTTATTTTGATGAACTTTGCACACAGATGCAGGAATTTCGCCGTGTACATCTAAAAGCGCTGCATACACTGCTCATTCTCCCAAGCTGCATTGCTGTAACTGGAAAAACTTAAAAAATAACAAAACATGTAGATGGTCTCATGAGCCCACTTCTTCAAACTCTGGTCATCTGAAGAAGTGGGCTATGCCCACAAAAGCTCATGAGACCATCTACATGTTTTAAACTTAAAAAACAACAAATGGTTGTTAAACTTAAAAAACAACAAAACATGTAGATGGTCTCATGAGCCCACTTCTTCAAACTCTGGTCATCTGAAGAAGTGGGCTGTGCCCACTAGGGTTGCCAAATGTCCGGTATTTTCTAATTAAGATTTTATTATTATCATGAGTATCAGTATGTAGTTGCGTATTGCCTGGATGGTAGACATGCCCACGTTGTGTGAGCGTGTATACTAGCCAGGCAGTATGCAACTACACAGTAGAGAGGAGGGAGGATGGGGGCGGGGCAAGATGGAATCCCCCGGGGCTGGACTTGCCAGTATGTCCGTCCGGGACTGTGCGTGGAACGGGCAGCATCCTGGGATCTGCGTGCGCCCAGGCCTGCCCCGCTCTCCCTGATCCCCTGCTGGCCAGCTCCACTCCCCACTGGCTGGTTC